TCCCTCCCTCCCTCCCTCTCTCTCTCTCAGTTATTGATGGACCTATTTATATGCGGTGCTGAGAATTGAACCTAGTGCTTCATACATGCTTTAGGCAAGCACTCTTACCACTGAGCCACAACCCCAGCCCTGGAACTGGATCTCTTGATGTCATTATGTGTAGAGGTGGGACTCTAGTTGTGCCTGTGCTCTGCCTCATGCTCCATATGTGGCATGTCTCATGACCACCTGAAGTCCCCACCTAGGGTAAGCATCTGACTGTGCTAAAAGGTCAAGATGAACTAGTGATGATTACGCATGCGTTGGCCTCTCACCACCTGGAGCTGCTCCTTCTCAGGTAAAGCTCCTGCTATTGTTTCCAGAACATGGTATCCTCTTGTCCTGCCTCAATGGTTCTGATTTAGTGACTTCATCTGTCCACCTCTGGCCATTTTGTTATTTCTGCAGACCACATAGTTTCAGAAGGTCAGCGGATTTCTCAACCTCCCAACTCCAAATGCATTATATCAATTCCACGGCCTTGAAGATGGCTTCACTTTTTAACTCCTAAATTTCTGCTGTGTCTGCTAACTTCTTAAGGCTGAGAGATAATTCGTTTGTCTCATTCCTTTCTGAGGTTTTATTTGCTTAATCTTATGGGATCCTATTCTTCATGGAGGTCCCTGACTGTTTAACAACCATTTATGGAAAAAGATTCTTCTGAAATATGATTTATCACAGTACATTTAGAAAATAGGTGTGCCAGCAGGTGGTACATATCTGTAATCATAGTGACTCTGGAGGATGAAGCAGGAGAATCCCAAGTTCAAGGCCAGCCTGGGCAATTTAGTGAGACCCTGTCTCTACCCACCCCCMAAAAAGTTAAAAAGGACTGAGGATATAACTTAGTGGTAGGTCACCCCAGTTTCAGCTCCCAGCCTCCTCCCCAATATAGAAAATGGATACACCAAAATAGGCCCCCCACCCCAAAATTAGTATTAGTTTTACTGAGGATTAGTATTTGAGATGAAAATCTACTCAATATAGAGGCTGTTTTATTTATTGGAAGATCAAAACAGAGCTATGAATTTTGCTACATCCATTCAAAGTAAATAACTTATGATATACTGATTCTGACAGATGTAAGAAATGAAAACCAGTGTATTGAACCTGTGGTTCAAACTGAGGAAGTTGATACCTGGATTTTATAAGACTTTTTCTTATATTTTTTTCTTTAAGTTAAATGTCTCTTCTCATCTCTAAAATAATTTTTAAGTGCTAAAACTTTAAGGAAGGCAAACTCTTCAAGTAATTTGCCATTAAGTGTAGACTCAGTTGACAAATCTTAATAAGGAACTAAAAATCAACGTGAAACATGAATATAGCCACAGGAAAAGCTGGACAAAGCAGTGCTATTATGCTATCATGGCCTTTCAGTTAAAGACGTAAACTAGCAGCCTGAGATGTCTCTTGGTTTTGTATATTAACTTCCTAGGATTTTCTAAAATTTATGCAGCAGCACATCAGCCAGGTGTGGTGATGTGAATCAAAATAAAGCAAGAAGCTGCTAAGTGGTACATTCCTGTGATCCCCACTACGAGGTAGGTGGAAGAAGAAGGATCACAAGTTCCAGGCCAGCATYAGCAATTGAGTGAGACCCTGTCTCAACCTAAAAAAAATAAGGGCTGAGTTTAAGCCCAATGGCAAAGCACTCCTGAGTTCAGTCTCTATTACTTCCCCCTTAACTCCTGGCAATCGTGCCCTTTTATAGTTTGATAGCCTCTTTCTTAGAGCTAAATAATATTCCATATTCAGAGTATATCACAGCTTATTCACTCACCTACTAAAGGACATTCTGGTAGTTTTCAAGTTTGTGCCATTGTGAATAAAGCTGCTATGAACGTTTGTGTGTAGACACAAGTTTTCAACCCATTTGGGCAAATACCAAGGAACACAATTGCCGCTAACAGCTTGTTTAATCTTGCTAGAAACTGCCAAATTTCTTACAAAGTGGCTTTATCATTTTTGCATTCCCAACAGCAATGAGTGAAAATTCCTGTTCTACATCCTCACCAGCATTTGGTATTTGTCAGTGTTCTGGATTTGGGCCATCCTAATAGGTGTAAGTGCTCCCATCATTTCAATTTGCAATTCCCTAATTAGGTTAGATGTTGAGCATTTTTTCATATGCTTGCTTGCCATCTGTATGTTTTCTTTGGTGAGAAGTCTGTTCGTATCTTTTGTCCATTTTTAATTAGTTATTTTCTCACTGTTGAATTTTAATGGTTTGTGCATAAGAAAATAGTACTGTATCAGGTATGTATTTTGCAAATATGTCTTCCCAGACTGTGTCTTCTTTTCTTTCTCTTCCTTCTCCTCCTCCTCATTCATCTTTCTCCACCTCCTTCTCCTCTTTTTCCTCCTCCTCCTCTTTGCTCCTCCTTTTTCCTCCTCCTCCTCTTTGCTCCTCCTTTTTCCTCCTCCTCCTGCATCTTCCTTCTTCTCTTCCTCCTCCTTCTCCTTCTTCCTCTTTCTTCACCTCCTCCTTCTCTTTTTTTCCCCTGTAATGCAGGATTGGAACCCAGGGCCTTACCCATGCTGGGTAAGCACTCTGCCACTAAGCTGCATCTCCAGACCCTTCTCATTCTCTTGACAGTATCTTCTGCAGAACTCGAGTTTTAAATTTAAACAAAGTCCAGCTCATCAGCGATTTCTCTTGTGGATTGAGGCTTTGGTATTGTATCCAAAAAGTCATCACCAGACCCCAGCGTATCTAGATATTCTGCTATGGTATCTCCTAGGAGTTTCACTGCTTTTCATTTTACACTTGGGTCTGTGATCTCTTCTGAGTTAGTTTTAGTGAAGAGTGTAAGGTCTGTATCTTGATTAATTTTTTTTTTTTGCTTATGAATGTCCAATCATTCCAGCATTATTTGTTGAAAATGCCATTGTCTCTGTTGTCTTGCCTTCATTCCTTCACAGGTTCTGTTGATCACTGTCTGGATTCTGTTCCGTTCCATGGATCTATTTTTCTGTTCTTTTCTAATACCATACTGCTTTGATCAATGTAGCTGTAAGTGCCTAGAGAGGTTGAATAATGTCAGTTCTCTGGCTTTGTTCTTTTCCCTCCATATTGAGTTGGCTTTCTAGGTTTTTCTTTCTCCGTAACCATGTGTTTTTAAAAAAATTTTGTTCATTCATCTTTCCATAGCAGTTGTGAAGGTGACCCCACAGAAAGGTTTTGTGATTGTTCCTGTCCTTGAAATTTCAATGGTCTTGAACCAGTTTTTTTTTTKGGGGGGGGCGGTGGGGTTGGGATTGAACCTAGGGGTGCTTTACCACAGAGCTATATTCTCAGTCCTTTATTTTTACTTTCACACAGGATCTTACTAAATTGCTTGGGGCCTTGCTAAATTGCTGAGGCTGGCTTTGAACTTGTGATCCTTCTGCTTCAGCCTCCTAAACCTTGAGATTACCGACCTGCGCCACTGGGACCAGCTTATTTATTTATTTATTTATTTTAGTTGTAGTTGGACACGATATCTTTATTTTATTTATTCATTTATTTTTTATGTAGTGCTAAGGATTGAACCCAGCAAGTGCTCTGCCCCAGCCCCAGCCCCAGCCCCAGCCCCAGCCCCAGCCCCGGGACCAGCTCATTCTAAATGTAAAGTTTCTCTCACAGTTAGACCCCAGGGATTACTTGCCTAAAACAAAATGGGCACATTTGCTATAGTTTCTGTGCACAAAACAGACCTGATTCAGTTTCTTGTAGACAGAGATCTTTTAAGTCTTTAATGTAAAGCTCAATTCCTATTTCATGTTCCTCCCAACTATAAGGAAGATCAATACCTCCCCTTATATCCTAACATGGCATTATAAGGGCCTCAACTCATAGGTTCTAGCCTGAGTTGGGTCTAAACTCAGTGGGACACTTAGTGTGAGCTCGCTTTCACTTTGATTTCTCCCCTACTGCTTCCCCCGACCTTTTTTTTTTTCCTTTGCATTTCTGGGAATAGAACCCCAGGCCTCATGCATGCTAAGCAAGCTAAGTTAAGCTACATCTCCTGCCCTTTTCATTTTTTGTTGCTGCTGCTGTTTTGAATTTTTCCAAGTGCAGTAGCAAGTGCCTGTAATGATCCTGTCTCAAAGTTAAAAATAAAAAGGTCTGGGTTGTAGCTCAGTGGTGGAGTACACCTGGGTTAAATCTTGAGTACCACACAAATACACAAATTATTTTGAGACAGGGTCTCACCAAGTTTTCCAGGCTGATCTTGAACTTGTGTGCCTGGCTCCTATTCCCCCTTTTCTAGACCCAGAGAAAACTCCATCTAAATCAGAAATAGAAAGTCTTATTGTCCCATAAGGGGATGTGTGGGTGTGAGTGTAATAGGATTGGGGGTCACGAGGTGGCAGCCCAGAGTAATGAAACTGTATACCTCAGATTTTAAACAGATAGTAACTATCACCTGACTTGCCAAAGTATGTTGATGACAAAGTAAGTCCTATGTTCCTCTGCAAATCCGGTTCTGAGTTAAACCCTTTTCTTTCCAGATGTTCGTTCCAAAAGGGAGTACGATGAGAGTCATGTGATCACAGCCCTTCGTGTGAAGAAGGTACGCACCTGAGTCAGCATCTGGGGCAGGCTGGTGACCTTGGTGAGGGTGGAAGGAATGAGAGGTTTCATCCTGTGTCTACTAGGGTCTCCTGTGGGACACTGGGCAGTAGGTACCTCAGAATATAAGACACCCTTGATTCAGTGTCCCCGCCCTCATGGAGTTTCTGTTCTACTCAGTGAGCAGATGATTAACAATAGTGGTGGGCTGGGGTTGTGGCTCAGCGGTGGCACACTTGCCTAGCATATGTGAGGCATTGGGTTCGATTCTCAGCACCACATATAAATAAATAAATGAATAAAGGTCCATCAATAACTAATTTAAAAAAAAAAACCATAGGGGTATTACACTAACCCAAAAGTGTAAGCTCCTCCTTCCCTCCTTCCCTTCTTTTTCCTTCCCGCATTCTCACAAGCAACTGAGCCCTGCATACTGGCGCTGTGGTCCTCTCCTGCTTTGAGGCCTTCTCCACTCCCCTGCAGGTGTCCTCTCTCTTAAGTCATGGCCATACCTGGAAGCCTTCAGTTGGGATCCTCTCCAGCCTCTGAGTCCTGGTCACAGCCTCTGCCCTTGACTTTGAAGTTCTCTCTCATTCAGGGTTCTTCTTTCCCTGGTTCAGCTATATCCTTTCCTTTTGCTGCCTGAAGGTATCTTCCTAGTCTCTTTCATGCCTGTCAGGATGCTTTCCTTCATTCAGGCTTACAGTTTCAAGCCTCCATATCCAGTTAGGGTCCTGAGGAGTTTACTTCTAAAATTTAGTCTTGCAAAATTCCCTCCTGTCCTGCCCTACTGCCAGAGCGCCATATGCACTTCATCTCTGGCTCTTTTTCTACATATAGCTCAGCATGGAGCATGGGCTCTGGCATGAGTATTTTTCCGGAATAAGCTTACTGTCTGCTGCCTTCCCTCTTCCCTATCCCTGTGCATCATTTTTTGCTTATTTTCTCCCTGGAGTTTCAGTTCTTTGGCTCTCTACTCCAGCAGCCTTTTTCAAGGCTTTCTCTGCTTTTTGTATAACCTATTCTGAGCCTCTCTGTCACGTATGGGTCTCATTTCCCAGCTCAGCACTCCTACCTGTGTTCCCTGGTCTCTGGCAACGTGCCAACTCTCTGCATCCCAGCCTCTGGGGGCTGCTCACATCTTTTCCCTTGCCAGGTTCTTCTGTCTCTAGAAGCCCACCCTCATCCTGTGTCTACATTTTCTCCTCTGAGTGCCATCTATTGGGCCCCTTCCTGAACATACTTCTGATTCCTTAGAGAAACAGGATTTCTTCTATTTGTGTTGTAGAGAAACCTATTAAATCTCTCCTTCAGGTCTTCTGCCAGTCGGGGGTTCTACCTCAGGCTAGGCTGCAGAGGCCAGAGTCAGGTTCAGGCTGCCCTGAGTCACAGGGCTCATGGGATACTGTCAGCAAGTGAGGACCAGACTCAGCTCTTCTCCAGCTGTTGGAGAACTGGACCTCCCAGGAAACAGTCAGCACCAAGACCCCCCTTCAATGCTGATTCCTGTCATCAAGTCAGAAAGATTTCAGACATGTTGCTCAGAGTAATAGACAATGAGTTTATTAGCAGGAATGGGAAGGGGAAAAGTTGATGCTCTCATGTAACAGAGTTCACTCCAGTTTTATTTGGGATCCCAGAGAAGTTTCCAGAGAGTCCCACCCAGGTCCACCTCTTGACTGGTAACTGACAGCAGGATGATATCAAACTTTCAAGTTCCTACTGACATGACCACCCTAGGTCTCTTTGGCCCATGCTGACTGGTTCTAATTGGAATCTGTTCTTACAGATTTTATAGTTAGGGGGAATTATCCTTATCTCCGTGAATTCCAGGATCTGGTCTCTGTAAGGGTCTCCTCCTTCAGGGAAACTTGGGTTCCTCTTATCAACATTATTTTGGACTCTCGTTTTCCTGCAGGTAACAGGTAGTTTGCTGAGGAATGTAACATATCCTGTCTACGTAAGCCAGGCAGGGATGCAGGTGAATTGCTTCTTAGAAAAGAAAGCATGTGGCGGTCGGCACAGTGAGCCCTTCTACAGAATTATCCTCATCATCTCATGTTCCTACTGCTCATGCCTATCCCTGTCACAGGCAGGCCTCCTCAAGCTCTGTAACATCTTGTAGGTTCTGAGCCTTCCAGTGCTGTGAGATTACATCTCCTCCCTAGGTGACCTCATCCCCTCCTAGGTGACACTGTCTCCTCCCTAGGTGGCATCATCCTCTTAGCAGTAAGCATCTGCTGTTCCTTGCCCTGTGATCTGCATTACGATTATTCCACCATCCCTAACTCTTCTGGCTTCTGTTTGCCATCCATTAATTTAAGCACATTTATGGCTTACCAAGTACAGACACTATTGTAGATGCTCAGGACACCTAACAAGGACCCAGATCCCTGCTCCCCTAGAACTTACACCTGACCAGGCAGCCCTCCTTGTGGCATCCACTTGATCATGACTTCCACTATACTGACCTCCTGACTGCCACCTTAGGAGTGGTTTTGGATTGGGGCCTACTGCCAACCACTCTCTGTGCGAGAGAGAATGTCACTAATTCAGCTGGTCATGGTTACTCCAAATCCAGGACCTGTGCGAGAGAGAATGTCACTAATTCAGCTGGTCATGGTTACTCCAAATCCAGGGCTGTAAGCCCTTCAATAGGCCAGCCAGTCTTTAGTTGAGTTCTTACCTCTGGTCTAGCCCACTGAAGCTGGCCCTTCTTAGAAGAGGATGTGGGTATGGAAGATTCTTGGAAGCCAGCACATCTCCACTCCTCTTGAAACATGGGAGAAAGGCTTTACTACTAGTCATTCCACTAAAAACTAGAGAGACAGCTGGACACAGTGGTGCACAATTGTAAACCCAGCAACTCAGAGGCTGAAGCAGGAGGATTGCAAGTTGGAGGCCAGCCTGGGCCACTAAGCAAGACTGTTTCAAAAATTAAAAGGCCTGGGGAGTGTAGCTCTGTGGTAGAGTGTCCTGAGTTAAACCACCACTATAAACAAATACCACCACCTAGAAAGTCAGAGACTGGTTGTTTGGTGAAGAAAGTAGGTTTATTCAAAGTCAGTGAACCTTGAGGAAGATAGAAGAGAACTTTGTCTCAAATCTGCATCTTCACGCACAGGGTCAGGGAAATATTTATAAAGGAAGAGGAGGCACTTGGGACAAAGTCAGAAAATATACATCTGCAGATTTAGTAGCTAGTAGCTCTCAGCAGGAGGAAGTATAGGATGCAGAAAAGTAGTTATCAGGAAGTCACTTTTAATTTCAAAGTGTCTGTTTCCAGCAGGCGTAGGGAGTTGGGGTATAATCTTTGCTTCCAGCTCCTTCTGGGACTGACATGTAGGAAATCCATGCTCAACCAAGCTGCTCACCACCTCACCTCTGTGTTTTCCTTAGAAGGATAAAGACTACCTCATCCCTGAGTCCGTGGACCTGGAGTGTGTGAGATACTGTGTGGTGTATGACAGCAACACCAGCACCCTGGAGATGACCCTAGTCTACAATGAAAATGAGGATGATAATGACTTTGACAATTCTGGCCCAGGTGGGTTTTTCCAGCAGTGGCAAAATGATAGGTAAGGAGCCTAGCGGGGACAGGCTATAATCCCAGCATCTCAGGAGGATTGAGTTCAAACCAGCCTCAGCAACTCAACGAGGCCCAGCAAGATCCTGTCTCTAAATAAAGTATAAAAGGGGGCTGGGGATGTGGCTCAGTGGCTAAGTGCCCCTGGGTTCAATTCCTAGTACCAGAAAAAAGTTACTACTTACTATGTGCCAGAAGCCATGATGCCAGGTGCTTCCCCTGGGCCAATTTGTGAAGTCTTCAGAGCCTCCTTGTGAGAATGGTAATGCTAAGAGCCATGAGGCGTGTGAGACTTTACCCTCCATACAAGATAAGTCACATGTGGCAGTTGCATGTACACTAGCAGAGACCTGAGACTCCTGGGTCAGACACAGGACTGAGTTATTCAGAACAACACAAGGACCCAGAATGTCAGCATTGTCCTGTATTGGTTCTCTAAGCCCCAGTCCCCACAGGGTTAGGTGAAGAGGGCCAAGTGACACTTAGAGCTACAATGGGTTGCCTTATAGAAGAGTCCTAAGCTTAGGGGGCCTGAGGGAAGGAAGAATGTCCTGTCTTCCAAAGCTGTTACACAAATGTCTCCTGAAGAGATGGCCCAGAACAAAAGCAGCCAATGTCCCTGTTCACAGGACACTGAATGGGAGACCATGGAGAACTGTCTCCTAGCAGGTACATCACTCCCATTTTACAGAGCGTTGAAACTGGCCCAGAAAGGTGAAGTAACTCACCCAAGATCCTGGTGAGTTAGGATCTATTGCAATGGAGCTCATTTCTCCAAACCGAGTCACTGAAAACAGCAAACCTTAATTATCTTCCTCTTTCTGTGGGTCCAGAATTCAGGGACCACTCAGCTGGAAGGCTCAGGGTTTCTCGTGGGCTGCTGTCCTTGGAAGGTTTGAGCCAGGATGATTGGCATCCAAAATGACTCATTAGCCATGGCAGTAGCCAGCAGGCCTCAGCTCCTTGCCACAGAACCTTTCCTTGGGATTGCTTAAGTGGCTCGCAACACGGCAATGGGTTTCCCCCAGAGTAAGGGGTCTAAGAGAGGGGGTTAGAAGGGGTAACCATGTGCCTTTTATGACCTGGTCTCAGGACTCAGTCACCTCTGCCATGTTCCAGTCACTAGAAGTAGGTCATGAAGTCCATCTTGCACTCAAGGAACAAGCAGGTAGTCTTGACCTTTTTATTTATTTCTTTTGACGTATTTGTTATTGGTGTATTATAGTTGCCCATAATGGTGGGATTTGTTACATATTCATACATGTAATTTGGCCAGTATCACTCCACAGTATTTCCCCTTTCTCTTCCCTCTTCCCTCCCTTTCTTCTATTCTAATGATCTTACTTCAATTTTAATGAGACTCCCACACACCTCTTTTTCTTTTTCCTCCTTAGCTTCCACATATGAGAAAAACATATGATCCTTATCTTTGAGTGTGGCTTGTTTCATTTAACAAAATACTCTCAAGTTCCATCCATTTTTCYGTAAATGACATAATTTCATTCTTTATGGCGAAATAAAACTGCATTGTGTGTATTTACCACATTTTCCTCATTCATTGATGGACACCCAGGCTGGTTCCATAGTTTGGCTATTATGAATTGTGCTGCTATAAACATGGGTCTGCATGTATCACTATAGTATGATAATTTTAATTCTCTAGGATAAATATCGAGGAGTGGTATAGCTGAGTCATAGGATGGTCCATTCCTAGTCTTTTGAGGAGCCTCCATACTGATTTCCACAGTGCCAGTACTAACTTACAATCACATCACAGTGTGAAAGTGTTCCTTTTTCTCCATATCCTCTCGGCATTTATCATTGTTTGTATTCCTGGTGACTACCATTCTAATAGGCTTGACATTTTAAAGAGGTGTTTAAAAGACTCTGTGGACAGATTTCCAAACTATCACAGCTCCTAAGTGGTGGGGTTACAGTTCAAGCCTAGGCAGTTTGAGATTATTCTGTCTGCCAAGGCTTGGATGGTTGTGTTGGAGAAGAACATGGCTTAGGGCTGGAGGGTCAGTTCCAAGATTCTCAGTTGAAATTCTGAAGCTCCACTGTTCTCTTTTCAGCCCCTGGCCATCATCCCCTGGCACCAAGAGATCTGCTTCCTCTGACTCAATAGCTGATGTGGGTGGGTATAGTTCCAGGGCACTCCCACGGACTGCCACTGGGTGGAGCTAAGCTCCCACCTTCAGGAAAGCCAGCCTTTCAGGCTTTCTTTCTGCGTGCTCTTTGGCCATGGTTAGGTCCCTGCTTCCCCATGCCTGCCCCACTGGACTCTAGTGTACAGTTCTGGGAATTATGGGATTACAGGCTGGATCCTGAAGCCCTAGGAAATGGGCAGTAAAGATAACCCCGCTTCTACCCTGCAGCTGAATGCACTGTGCCATGGGTTCCCATGCCCCTTGGTAGGAAGCCACAGCTGCACATACAACTCTCCTCTCACACAACTTTGCTCACTTAAAATGGCATCTTGCAGGTAAGTGCTAAGTCTTTTGGATATAAGGTCATTTCAGGGTTCCTCTCATCACCCCACTTCTCTCTGTTGTTAAGTACCTGTCTCCTCAGTCCCCAAGGAAACCTGAGCACAGGGGCTCTTCCTCACATCCCAGCAGCAGGTATGTGAGGTCATGGTGCTGGCCATGTGGGCCTGTGGCCATGGGGCTCTGTCCTCACTGTGCCCAGAGCTGTGATGCCCGTGCCTGATGGACGTCTTGAGCAGCCTCTGTACCTGGCAGTATGCACCAGTTGCTCCTGGGGACCCCCACCTTGTACCTTCTGCTCAGGCTCCCCACCCAGGCTACAGATCCCCTGGGCCTTGCTGCATCTCTCCTTGGCCTTCAGTGTTGGTTCCACCACCTCTGCTGGGGACCACTGAGTTCCCAGGGGGAAATGGGCCAAGCTGTTTCCAGCGCGAATATGGGAGGCCTGCCTGTGGGTTTCCCCCCAGTCAGTGTCTTCTTAGAAACTGGTCTTGGCTTCTGCACTCAGAGGGCTTCCCCATCTTGGAGGAGAGATTTCTCTCCTTTTGAATTGTCCTTCCTTGCAACAGTGGGGTTAGAGATTGCAAGTGTGCTCCTTGACACAGGAAGAAAGCTTTGGGGCTTCCTTTACCTCTCTCAGCAAAGCCTGGCTTTCATGACTATTGGCTGGCTAAGGAACCCAAGGAATTCAACTCAAAACTGTCCCCGTAATCAGGGACCTTGATCTAGGTATGTCCCTTCACCTTTGGAAGCAGCGAGTACCCCAGTTCAGAGAGGGAGAAACTAATGCCAATGGAGAATTCATGATCAATGGGAATAGAAATGAATGAAATTGACATTGCAGAAATATTAACTCCATCACCCCTTCTAGTGGAAACCTCCACTTCCCAGTAATGGATTGAGGCTATTATGGAGGTACCCCCCCACTTCTGAGCAAGTGGAGCCTGAAATTTTCTGGCTACTGGAAGGGTAGCCTAGGCTCTGTTAGCATCCCTGACTATCCCCTGGGAGCTGGCCTTCCTCTGGTGCTGATCCTGTTGTCCCTAACTGAATAAGCCTCCAGTGGGTCTCGAAAAGCAGCCTAAAGGTAAGAGTCGTGTGTCCTGAGAAACTACAGCTTCCTGGGGCCCTCTGACCCGCCACCATTTGTGGCTCAGGAAAGTCATGACGGGCATCACATGACCCATTGGTTGGACTCTGACTTCTGAATCAGACCCATGGGAGGCTTTGGCCCATATCTTGACAACTGAGGTTATGTCCCAGCCTGGTTAMAGACTCCAAACTTGTCCTCCAAATGTAGTTCTCCAGACAGGTCCCAGGCCACTATGTCCTGAGCAGTCCCTGCTGGAAGTGTCCTCGTCTCCCAGATCTAAAGTTTAGCATAGAAGTCAGAGTTCATACCCGACTCCTTCTGGATGGCTGTCCCAAGCCTGCTAGCCAACATTACTCTTTCTGGGTCTGTTCCGGATCCAAGTATTTTGGCTTAGCCTTAATTATGCAGAATTCCAGTCCCATATATCTGATTTGCATACAGTCTATCCTGCAGATCAGCGAAGGTGATTAAAGTTAAATTGATGTCAAAACCACTGTGAAATTTCATTTCATACACCAGAATGGCCATGTGACAAGAATGTGGAGAAAGGAGTCCTCAGGCATTGCCTGCCAGAGTGTGAGATGGTGAAGTTGCTTCAGAAAAAAGTTGGATGTTTCCTCAAAGGGTTAAGATAGACACTCCAAAGACATGGCATCTGCATGAGAACTTGTGCATGAGCTCGCACAGCATCATTTACAGTAGCCCAAGGAGGGAATAACACATCCATCCTCAGATGAGAGGATAAAACCAATGTGGTAAATCCATGTGGTGCAATGAATGTTAGCCATTGAAAGGACTGAAGTATTGATACATCTGCAAGAGATGAATGCTGAAGAGACTATAGCAAGTGTAGAAACAGACACACATCATGTGAATGACATGCTTCTGTTTATATGAAATGTCCAGAATACATGATCTGTGGGAAAATTAGATAAATAGAGCTTAGAGTAACCAAAGCTGCAAGTTTGGGGGTAACAAGAAAGTGACTGATACAGGGTTTCTTTTAGGGATGATGAAAATGTGCTAAAATTGATTGTGATAATAGTTACACAACTGACTATACAAAAAAATCACTGAATCATATGCTTTAAATGGGTGAATTGTTTGGTGTACAACATGTGGCGTACATATGTTGTGTGTATATATATACGCACACACAGCTTACAGAAGATCCACCTGATGGAAAGTTGCCTTTGAAATTTTAATTGTCACATTCCTCTCATTTATCCTTTTTCGGCTTCCTAAATAATTGCTTTTCAGAAGACAGAGTGGCTGTCTAGACAGATGGTGAGCACAACGCAGGACAGTCACCTCTTTGGTGTCTATTCTTAGAACTGGCGCTCGGACCTGCCGTGGAGTGTGGCAAATGGCTGAGCAACTTCACCCGCAACCCTGTGCACATCCTGAAAGGGGGCTACCAGCGCTTCTCAGGCCTGTACCACTTCTTTCGGACCCAGAAGATCATCTGGATGCCCCAGGTGAGGCAGAGGGCTGAACAGAGGCTAGCTTGGCCAGGAAGCATGGCTGAGGACTAAGGGGTGGAAGGCAGGGGAGGAGGAAGAAGAACAGGGGATGGGAGGAGATGGAGGAGAACAGGCTGGGGAAATGAACTGGTGGCATCCAGGTCATGATCGTGACTTCATCGCTGTCCAGGAAAGGCAGAGGCCATTGGTGACAGCATGGAGTTCATCCTCTGTGTCTGGCAGCTGGTGAATGGGCCCGTTCTCACTCTGATCCAGTCTGATTCTGGGTGCTGCTCATGGCCTCTGTTGCTGGGTTTCTTGGGGCCTCACACAGCCTTACCCTTGCCTCTTCTGTTGCTGAGGATCTCCCAGCGAGCCAGCTGTGACCCTTTTACCCTCGGCCAGGGTTCCCTCTCAAATTCTCTTCCATCACTGAGCAGCCCTGATCCCCACCATGTCCATCTTCTTCCTCTAAATCCTGGCCTGATCCACAGGGGAGTGTGCTGGTGGGGAAAGGGGCCCTGCAGACCTTCCACAACCCTCCCTGCCCTGCCGCTCTGCTGCTCAGTGGGCTTGTGTGACAAGGCTAGACAGCAGTCTATGGTCAGACCTGTTTCCAAACCCAGGGTGTGTACACAAGCTTTCCGATGTCCTCTCTCCTCCTCTGAGGTAACGGCACCTAGGATTTGGGCTCAGCAAGTGCCCACCAAGTGTGGCTTCCTGTTCCTGGGGGACTCCCTCTGCTGGCTTTTCAGGGTGTGGAGAGATTGGTGTCTTCTCTGAGCTTCTGCTGCTAATAACTCGCCCCACACACCTTACTGACAGCTCTAGTGAGGTGTAGCTGACATGCGATGAATGGCATGTTTAAAATGAAGTATGGTTGGTTTTAATACGTGTGTGCAGTGACTTTCCTAGATTTGGAGGGGAGGGGCTTGTGGAAGCTACGAGGGCTGAGTGGGCAAGTGGTAACCCTGCTTGGTTGTAGCTCTTTAGAATGGGGTTGCCTAGCATTTGCCTCTCCCTGTCATAGGACCTTTGCCACCAATTTAGGAACAAAGGTGAAGGTTCTACTTGCTACATTTTCTTTACCATAAGTGGGAGTGTCCCCATGCTCCCTTAGGAGCTGCTTCTCTGAGGGAAGGTGGTGACCAAGTATTAGGACTCTGAGATTGCCTTCCGCTTTAGATGGAGCAGCTTATAGTGACTGCCCTGTGCTGGTAGGTGACCTTCCTTCAGTAAGAGCTCCCTCTGAGCAGAGGTGCTCAGGGACTGACAGATTTCAGCAGTCCATTGCTAGAGGCAGATGAGGGCCAGCCACTGAGCAGTGCCAAGCAGAAGGTTGGCATAGTCACATTATACTTTGGGAAGCTCACTGGGAAGCAGATCAGTGGGCCAGAGTAGATTTGGGGAGCCCTGATGAGAGGCAGGGGAGAAAGACAGTCTGAGGACATTTAGGAGGCAGCATTGCTCAACTAGAGAACATGAGGGAGTCTGGAGACAGGAGGAAGGCCCTGGTGTTAATGTGGGTGACAGGTAGGCCGTGGTGTGGTTCATAGCAGTGGGGAGCCCCTGGGGGACAATTTGTGGGGCAGACAGCAGGCTCCATTCAGACTGCTCAATGGAGATATCTTTTCTGTTTTATTAATTGGTATTAATGTGCATGCTTTGAGAAGATGAAATGTTTCTATCTGTGCCACACCCTCTTCCCAGCTCAACTCAGGTAACCACAGAAAGGGAGGCTGGTTTGCAGGAAGCAGGAGAGTTATGAGGCATGTGGTGGGTACTGAGGCAGGTTGTTATCTAGTGGGATTATAGGAATGTCACAGGGCTCCAGTGAGCCAGGTACCCTGGGTGGAGTCAGCAGGGCTCTGGGGCGTGGCTTGTAGTGGCTTCACCTGGGGTAGGAGGGACATGATATGCTGTGTTCCCAGGGCTCTGAGGGACTGGTGCTGAAAGGGAGGTAGCCTGAGGTTTTTTTTGTTTTTTTTTTTTTTAGAAAAAGGAAAAAGAAGGTTTATTGCTTTGCTAGCAAAGGAGAAACACAGGGGACTCCTGTCCCAAAGGCTGTGATTCTGCCCATCAGTAGGAACAGGGGGCTTTTAAAGAGGTGATTCAGAGAAAATGAGTTTAGGGAGGTGAGATCAGGGAGAAGATCAGGAAGGAGAAAGTTGGAGAAAATAAGAACAGGAAGGGGCTGGGCTTGTTGCTCAGTGGCAGAGCACTTGCCTCCTACATGTGATGCACTGGGTTCAATCCTCAGCAGCACATAAAAATAAATAAACAAAAGAAAGACATTGTGTCCATGTATAACTAAAAACAAAAAACAAAAAAGATCAGGGAGGAGAAGGTCAGGAAGGAAAAGGTAAGGGAAAAGAAAAAAATATGTAAATTTCAAAGCCACAAGGGATATGGTCACAGTATCAAGTGAACCCTTGTTACATTTCCCCACTGTCAATTTCTAGCTTCCATTTCTATGGAAAGCAGGTGACAACATCTCCAAGCTATTTACTGCTGAACAGGGGCAAAGTTGGGGGAGGTAACCCAAAGTCCTTATTCTCTGTCAGGTGTGGGGGATGGACAGTTAGGGCATTCAGCATCAGAGCAGTCCAGAGGTCCACAGTGGTAGTTGGTAGGTGACTGGACAAGGTATACATAAGGCAGGGATCTTGCCAAGACAACAATAAAAAGCAAAGCATTCATTAAATTTTTGTAAATAATTAGAACAAAAGCAATTAGTATTTCATCCAGTCTCTGAAAACCATGAGGACTGTAATTCATAAACTATCAGTGAAAAATGGATCAGTTCATCAACGGATGTTAGAAAGATTTGTAGGTTTTTGAAATCAGACTCAAATTAACTCAGGACAAATTTGGGACTCTTACAATCATTACTATTATTCACTCTCACACAAGAATCCTTCCTTTATAGCCTCCAGCTGTACTTACTTTTGGAAGGGTTGACACAAATATACATCTTATGTTACATTTTTAAAAATATATACTTATTTTTTCATTTTTTAGTTGTGGATGGATAATGCCTTTATTTATTTATCTTTATGTGGTGCTGAGGCTTGAATCCAGTGCCTCAYACATGCAAGACAAGTGCTCTACCACTGAGCCACAACCCCAGCCCTTATGTTACATTTTTAAAACCATTGTTTTTACGTTTAAGTGTCCAGGTAGGACTGTGCTTTTAGGGTATACTCTCCTGCTAGGTGTTTAAGACCAAGTTGGCCAAAACTGACCCTGTTCCTATCTACTCTTAAGAGTGAGCTGAGATTCCTCAGGGATCACTCCTGGGGACATGTGTGAAGGCTCTTGGCTCCATTAGCTTTCCTCTACCAGTGGTGCCACTTGCCAGGATGGGTTGGGGTCTGTCTGACCATATATGGCTTATCTTGGAAGCATCAGGGACATTTCCACCTCCAATGATCCTCTTCTTTGCCGAATGTGCACTGGTTGGCTTCCTGTTCTATAGGGTCCTCTCTGTCTCCAGGTCACCGGAGTTACATGGACCAAAGAGGGGTCACATCATTCTCCAGGTCCTGGCTGACCTTAGAGGGCAAGGTCCAAAATATTGGCTACTTTTTCCTTGGCCCTTTTACTTCCTTGCCTTTGGTCTCCAAGGTTTTGGTTTTAAATATCCAGCAAGCCAGTTTTACCAGATTTAAAGAGGGAGTAACAGGTCATAACTTCAATATCTATAATTTTACAGGTACCCCTTTTATTTAATTTGGGTCAGTATTAGTACTGGAAGTCAGYATTATATAGTATCTGTCCTACAKAGCCCGAGCCCGAGGTATTTAAGTCGTTACTTCTGATTCTGATTTGGTACCAAAGGACTATGGAAGAGATTTTGACCACCAATCACACAGGTCAGGGTCTCCCTTGGAGGTATGATGGGGAAGTGGCGCAAGTCAGAGCATGTGGGGAGCTTGGTGGCAGGGAGGGCAGGTTTCCTTTTGTAGGGCCTCTTCTAGTTGGCTATTGCTGGTGGACACCAAGTTTCCTAGAGAGGACCAGCAGGCGCAGCTGTGGGCACACTCGGTCCTTTGTACCCTTCCTTCATGATGCACTGTGAGTTACAGTGCTTCTTAGAACTCTCTTTGGGAAACATAGAAATAATCCTCTGTTTCTTAGTGATTCAAAGAAACCAAATTATTTTTTAAATTGTGTGTTTCTAATTGATGCATAAAATAAAAAAAAATCATACTAGGTGATATTTTGATATACAATGTATGCATTATATAATATTTAATTCAAATAAAACATATTTCTCCTTGAATATTTTTTCATTTCTTGTGGCAAAAAACATCCAACTCCTCCTAGTTTTTTGAAATATACAGCATGTTATAGTTAGGTGGTCAACCACTGTACAGAGGCACCCTAGGACCCTTTGCTCCTGTTCAGCTGTAACTAGTGCACATGGATCAGTTTTGCCCACCTGCCCATCCCCCTCCCCCACCCCCATCCCCCTCCCCCACCCCCATCCCCCACCAACCCCATAACTGCCATTTTACTCTGCACCTCTGAGATCAGCTTCTTCAGAGTCCACCTGGGATTGAGACCATGTGGACCTCACTGTTCTGTGCCTGGCTTATTTCACTTAACATAATGTCCTCAGTTCTATTTATGTTGCTGCAGTTAAACTTTCTGTCACATTTATGGACCCTGAATTTAAGTGGTTGTCTTGTCCTCTCTGCCCCACTGACCATTCGCCTCCTTTATCAGAACACATTTTCTAATGGCAGATAGGCACAATGTGGAGAGTTTTATTGAGTGTGTCTTTAAGGTGTTTAAATTCTGATGTCCCCCATTGTAATAAAAGTTCTGTTCCTCCCCACTCCACCCCTAATTGGACACATTCTGGGTTGTGGATGTTCTGCACCACAAGGTCCTCAACTCCAGCCTTTGTGCATGTGACCAGGTGCAAATGGTTGCCAGGGAGGCAATGGAGTGGTGCTGAGAGCTAGTATGGCATCGTGGTGCTGTAGCCAGTCCCGATGGGACAGCCCTCTCTCTCCTCATGTGAGCTGCTATTTGCCAGTCTTTATGAAAGTCCAGATCTCAGTATCATCCACTGTCTGCTGAAGAGATTTCAAGAGATGAAAAGCTCCCTTCCAGAGAGCCCATGCTCACAGCAGCCCTCCTCTTTCCCCACTCCAGGAACTAGATGCATTTCAGCCATATCCTGTTGAAATAATTCCTGGAAAGATCTTTCTGGGAAATTTCAGTCAAGCCTGTGACCCTCAAGTGCAGAAGGATTTGAAAATCAAAGCACATATCAATGTCTCCATGGAGATGGGACCCTTGTAAGTAAATGAGACACTTTTTTAAGGGTATCATTTATTTATACACATTTCCTAGTGCATTTGTAGAGTTGAAAGGGCTCTTAGCCAACACAAACTGGAGCAGAGTTAGCATGGCCTTCGCCTGTGCCTCGCGTGGCTTTGGCATCCTTTGCCCCCTGACCCTTCACACTCTTCCTGTGAACCTCACCATGAGTGGTGCTTTCCAGGTCTTTGACATGGTGTTATGAAGCATCTTGGTCTACTCTGCTTGGCCTGTCTCGGGAACCTGTGAGAAATGCCTCTGTGCTTTGGCATTGCCTTGGTACCAGGACACACATGCCCATGCAGGCTTATCCTTGTTCACTGTGCAGGAAAGCCCTCACTAGCCCTGCTGGCCAGCCTCTTTTCTGACTGTGTCTGGTCCTGGTCACCAAGACCTAGAATTCTCTGCTTTCAGCTCCTGATCAAAATGGAAATAATACAAGAATTCAGCAAGGCATCTGATAACAAAAATGTCATATAAAGGTGCTAGGGTTGTGGCTCAGAGATAGAACGCTCGCCTAACATGCGTGAGGCACTGGGTTCGATCCTCAGCTCCACATAAATATAAAATAAAGATATTGTGTCCACCTATAACTAAAAAATAAATATTTAAAAATGTCATATAAAATCAATCAATAAATTCAACTTATGAATGTAGAAACATCAATGAAAGATGAAAGATCCATCTTTACAATAAAAACTAAAAGTTATGGGGCTGGGGATGTGGCTCAAGTGGTAGTGCGCTCGCCTGGCATGTGTGCAGCCCGGGTTCGATCCTTAGCACCACATACAAACATCCGCCAAAAACTAAAAAAAAAAAAAATTAAAAAATTCTCTCTCTCTCTCTCTCTCTCTCTCTCTCTCTCTGAAAAAAACCCTAAAAGTTATAAGATTCGTAGGAATAAATTTAAGAAATATGCAGGGCCTATGTAAATAAGACAATTTTTTTTTTTTGTGACACTGAGGGTTGAGCCCAGGGGCACTTGACTACTGAGCCACATCCCCAGCCCTATTTATAAACAGATAAAAGGGGGCTGGGGATGTGGCTCAAGCGGTAGCGCGCTCGCCTGGCATGCGTGCAGCCCGGGTTCGATCCTCAGCACCACATACCAACAAAGATGTTGTGTCCGCCAAGAACTAAGAAATAAAATATTAAAAATTCTCTCTGTCTCTCTCTCCTCTCTCACTCTCTCTTTTAAAAAAATAAATAAATAAATACATAGATAAAAGGCATTGTGTTGTGTCCATCTACACCTAAAAAATAAGTATTTTTTTAAAAAAGAATATTTTTTCTCTAGAATCTAGAATCTAGATTAATTGACCACTTTCTCATAATGAAATGACTCMCCTCATTTCTGGTAGTATACTTTGCTGTGAAGTCTGACTTTTCTGATAATAATATAGCAACTAGAGGTTTTTAAAATTTGTTTCAGTCTAGAATATCTTGTTACATCCTTTTACTTTATATTTGAAATACATTTTTTTTAGGCAATCTATAATCTCTGCCTTTTGACTGGAATCTTTAGACTAAATGTGATTGTTGATATGAGTTTAAATCTATCATTTGATATTTGTTTTCTATTGATCTCATCTCTTCTTTATTCCCATTTTTCTCTTTTTCTGTCTTCTTCTGGGTTATTATGATTCTATTTTTCCTTTATTATTTCATTCATTATATTTTTTATTTTTTGCAGTTGCTTTAGAGTTTATAGAACACATCGTTAACTGATTATTGAGGAGATTTTTAAACAAGAGGGAAAGTATCTTATATTTATCTACATAATTATCACTTCTGGTGGTCTTTGTTCTTTTTATAGAGATTCAGATTTCCATCTGGTATCATTTTCTTTCTGCCCAAAAGATTTCCTTTAACTTTTTTGTAGTGCACATTTGTTGATGATGAATTCATTCAGCTTTTGTATGCCTGAGAAAACTGTCCTGTGTTGTTAGTTAGCCATTGTCCAAAAAACCCTGTTCTATATGTTTTATTTCAGTTATTTAAGGTGGGGGAGTAAATTTGGTCCTTGTTACTTCATCTGGTCAGAAATGGGGAAAGTAGTCTCATTTATATTATAGATATCCAACTTTGAGTTGGCATTATAAAGATCTTAGCCAAAAAGCAAATTAGGAAATAACTTGCTTTTTGACTCAGATCTTTTTGAATTTTTAGATGAATTCATAGGCAGTTGATATCACCCATGACATTAGGTTTGTTATCTAACAGTCTTTCCCATCATTGATGCCCTCTTTTTTCTAAATCCTTTAGTTTCCTTAGCCAGGCATGGTGATGCGTACCTGTGATCCTAGCAACAGCAGAGGCTGGGGATGTAGCTCAGTGACAGAGTCCTCCTGGGTTCAATACCAAATTAAAAAACTGGAAGAGATACAACAATCCACAATTATAATCAGAAATCTCAGCATATCGATAATTGCTACAACAAGTAAATGGAAGATAGATTATAATTTCAAAGACTAGAAGAATGTAATTGTCCAACTTTACTTAATTGACAATTGTAAGATGTTCCACACAAAATTAGTAATGTTCTTCTAGTCTTTGAATATCTTTTTTTAAATGCTAGAACCATTTTAATATAATTATACATAGCTGCCAAATCCAGGAAGAAAAGATTTATGCATATATAACTTCCAGTTAACATTTGCATGCATAAACAACAGTGATCTCAGTTTAACAACTCATCAGGATCAGGGCAATTTACCAATGTTTCTTTACTTCTAGGCTTACCAACAGTAAGATACAGATGAATTAATGTCCTTTTTTTTCTTCAGACATTTTGTTGTAAAGTTTTAGTGCAGCTCACCTCCAGCCAAAAGTAATCTTTATAAATCAGTACTCAATTGCTTTGAATTTTGCTTATAATTATCACCTATTTAATCACTAAGAACTCCTGGAGAAGTGGAGTTCAAGGCTGCATACAATAACAGGAGATCATAGTTTTGAAGTCTAGCACAGATTGAAAACCACAGATGTACCATTTATATAAGACACACACTGTTTGTTGAATATTTTCTTACTGTTGAATATCTTCTCAATAAGAACATGGAATATTTTTTGTCATGGTACCCTGTTCTGGACCACAAAACAAACATTATTAAACCTAAAAGGATTAAAGTTTTAAAAATTATGTTTTATGACCCTAATGGAATTAAATTAGAAATCAATAACATAGATATCTGGGGAAAATCCCAAACAGGTGGAAATGAAATAACACACTTTTAAGCAGCATATGTGTCAAAAGATATTAAGGTGAAAATTAGAAATTATTTTGAACCGAATGAAAATATAAATAACACATGTCAAAAATTATGCATGTTGGGCTGGGGATGTGGCTCAAGCGGTAGCCGCTTGCCTGGCATGCATGCAGCCCGGGTTCGATCCTCAGCATCACATACAAACAAAGATGTTGTGTCCGCCGAAAACTAAAAAAAAAAAAAAATGAATAAATATTTTTTAAAAATTGTGCATGCAGCCAAAGCAATGCTAGAGGAGAATTTACAGCCTAAATGCCCATGTTAGATCCACGGCACCATATAAAAATAAAAAAGGCATTGTGTCTACCTACAACTAAAAATATATATTAAAAAATTTAGAAAATGAGCAACTTTATGCCAATAAATTTGAAAATATAGAGTAAATGAACAAATTCCTTGAAAGAGTCAAGCTCAGTTAGATAATAGATAATCAGGGCTGGGGATATAGCTCAGTTGGTAGAGTGCTTGCCTCATATGCACAAGGCCCTGGGTTCAATCCCCAGCACCATTAAAAAAAAAAAAAGAAAGAAATAGATAATCAGAATATCTCTCTATTAGAGAAATTGAATTCACAGTTAAAAACCTTTGTACAAAGAAAACATCTAGGCCCATATGCCTTTATTGGTGAAATAATAATTTCACATAAACTCTTTTTTTTTTTTTAAAGAGAGAGTGAGAGAGGAGAGAGAGAGAGAGAGAGAAAGAATTTTTAATATTTATTTTTTAGTTCTCAGCGGACACAACATCTTTGTTGGTATGTGGTGCTGAGGATCGAACCCGGGTCGCACGCATACCAGGCGAGCGCGCTACCGCTTGAGCCACATCCCCAGCCCCTCACATAAACTCTTTAAGAAAATAAAGATGTGGGCTGGGGATGTGGCTCAAGCGGTAGCGCGCTCGCCTGGCATGCGTGCGGCCCGGGTTCGATCCTCAGCACCACATACAAACAAAGATGTTGTGTCCGCTGAGAACTAAAAAATAAATATTAAAAAAAATTCTCTCAAAAAAAAATTTAAGAAAATAAAGATGTGCTGGGTGTGATGGTGCATGCCTGTAATCCCAGCAGTTTGGGAGGCTGAGGCAGGAGGATTGTGAGACTAAAGCCAGCCTCAGTAACTTAGGCAGGCCCTAAGCAACTTAGGGAGACCCTGTTTTTAAATAAATATTAAAAAGTGTGGGGGATGGAGCCATATGGTTAAGTCACATGGGTTCAATTCCCAATACCAAAAGGGAAAAAAAAAGAAAATAAAGATGAGAGAACTCATTTATGAGATACATCATTATTTGAAACTCAAACCTACAAAGACTTTACAAGAAGGGAAACTACAGACCAATATCCCTATGAATACAGGCACAACAATTCTTAACAAAATTTTAGTAAATTGGATTCTAAAATATCTAAAAATGATAATATCTCATGACCAATTGTGTTTGTTCCAGGAATGCAAGGTTGGCTTAACATTGAAAACCAAAGGTAATGCACCATATTAACAGACTGGAAAAGGAAACATCTTCAAGTGGAGAAAAGTTGCACTCTGTAGTTGCTGAATCCATATATATGTATAAGTGTGTATTTAAATATATATGTATAAAATATAAAAATAAGTAATATGTGGTTCATAAAATAATCAACAGTTKTCAGGAGATTAAAATTATATTAGCTTTCTTTCAACCACTGAGGGATTGAGATAGATGATTAATTTAAAAATGTAATTAGAAAATCCCTAGAAATCTATAAATAACTTTCTAAACAGCCAATGAAGCAAAGAACTCACAATGGAAATTAGGAAATATTTTCAAATACATGATAATGAAAATACTATGTATCAATTTGTGGAGTGTAGCTAAACTGTGCTTAGAGGGAAATGTACAGCTAGGAGTGAATACACTTATTACAAAGGGAAAAGGCTAGAAATCAATGAGTTATTTTAAGCATTTATTTTAAGAGAGGAACAGGAAATTAGACCCAAATGACAAAGGGATAATAAAAGCAGATTATTGAAATAGCAACAATAAAAGAGGATCAAGAAGGCCAAATTTGGGCTGGAGATGTGGCTCAGCGGTAGCGCGCTCGCCTGGCATGCGTGCGGCCCGGGTTCGATCCTCAGCACCACATACCAACAAAGATGTTGTGTYCGCCGAGAACTAAAAAATAAATATTAAAAAAAAAAATTCAAAAAAAAAAAAAAAAAAAGAAGGCCAAATTTTATTTTTTTAAATAAAATCAATAAACACTTGGCAAAGAGCAAAGGCACAAATAACCAGATGGCAAGAGAGAGCCCATGTCCTGTACCTACTCTAAAAGATTGTAAGAGGTGTTACGGAAACTTTATTATGGTAAACATAGATGAACAAATTTTAGAAACTCCCTGTCAAAACTGACATCAAACAAAATTTGAGTAGTATAAAGAACTAGTGAACATTTCCACAGAGAGAACTCCATGTTTAAATAGTTTCAGTGATTTAATTTTACTTAATATTTAAGGAGGAAATTAGGTCAATATTAAGGGTTTTTTTCCTTTTTAGAGAATAAAAAGAACAACTATCAACTTATTTTATGAGACCAGCATAATTTTAACTTCATAACCTAAGATGCTATAATGCAGGAAAATTATAGACTAATTTTCCTTGTGAATATAGATGTAAAAATTCTAAATAAAATATTAGCACACTGAATATGGTGAGATATGAAAGGATAATACATGGTGAGGAAGTTGGGTCTGTTCCAATGATATGAAGTTGCTTTAACTTCTGGAGAATTCATAGCTTACCAAATCATTAACATAGAGGAAAAAAAACCAATTATTTCAATAGATACAGATAAAGCATTTAGTAAGATTCACAATACATTCCTTTTTAAAAAAAAAAAACTTTATTTTTATGTAGTGCTGAGTATCAAACTCAGTGCCTCACGCATGCTAGGCGAGCGTTCTACCTCTGAGCCATAAATCCAGCTCTCACTATATACTTAATTTTTCTTTTCAGTACTGGGAAATGAACCCAGGGGTGCTTTACCACTGAGGCACATCCCCAGTCCTTTTTAAGTTTTGAGACAGAGTCTTGCTAAGTTGCTCAGGGTCTTGCTAAATGGGCAAGTCTGGCCTTGAATTTGTAATCTTCCTGCTTCAGCCTCTGGAGCGGAGCCACTGGGATTATAGACAAGTGCCACCGTACCCAGCTTCACTATGGATTTGTAATTTTTCTTTTCAGTATTAGGGATTGAACTCAGGGGCACTTTATAACTGAGCTACATTCCCAGGCCCTTTTAATTTCAATTTTTTTTTTTTAATTTTGAGAGAGGGTCTTGCTCAGTTGCTTTTAACTGCTGAGACTGGCCTTGAACCTGTGATACTTCAGAATGCTGAGCTTATAGGTGTTTACCACTGTGTCCCACTCATAATTTTAAAAAAAATTCTTGGAAAACTAGGAATAGAATGGAACTTTCTTGATCTAATTTTTAAAAAATATACAAAGTCTCTGCAGCAGGCCTGGGGTGCTAGTGTAGCCCAGTAGCAGAGCATTTGCCTAGTGTAGACAAAGCCCTGGATTTGATTCCAGCACTGGAAAAAAAAAAAAGATCTGTAAGTAATCATCACACTTACTGGTGAAATGTTGAAAGTTTTCTCTCAGCTTCTGAACAAGACAAATGATGCCACTATTTCCATTCCTACTTCCTGGCATCCTTCCCCTGTGGACCCGCTGCTGAAGATGAGGGGACACCACAGTGGGCTGTGTGCTGGTGACTTGTGTTCTATGTTTAGTTTTGCAGGTGACCCTGACAACCTTCTCCACATCCAGATAGAAGATACTCCAGACGTCAAGATTATTCCCTTTTTACGTCACCTCTGTCACTTCCTTGGTAAGAGCCTTCCCTAACCAGGGAGCAATTAGCCTGGGAGGCAGAGGGACTACAGTACCTCTTCCATATGCTTATCCCTGATCTCGACTCCTCATGCTGAGGACAGAGGAGGTAGGGGCCAGCACATGCCTGGCCAAATGTGGACAACTCAGGATGAGTCCAGCTTCTCAGGAATCCTGTTAGATGAGTGGGGGTGGTGTTTCCCTTGGGAGCAGTGGGCTCCAGTGGGAGTACCAGGTTGTAGGTTGAGCAGCCCTGGTGAGGCTGCCATAGCCCTTTGAGGCTATTTGAAAGTATGGGTGCTGGCCACCACATGTGATCGTGTCTGTGGAGGACCTAGAAGTGCTTCTTCAGACCTGAGGGTGCTTCATCGCTCCATGTGGGCTCCCTGCCACCTGTTGTCCTCCTGCCACACACAAAGCAACACCCACCAGCTGCTTAAATCATCCAGGGTGGATTGTGTGRTCGTTCCCAGGGCATAGGACTGTCTGAGGAAAGCAAGGTCCCTGGAGAGCAAGGCTGGGTCAGGGCAGAGGCCCTCCCTGAAGTGCCTGCTGGCACCACACAGCCCCCAGCCTGAGCAATTGGGGCTGACAATGGAGCCCAAGTGCCCATTATTAGACCAGCAGATTACCACTTTCACTCAGCTAGGATCTGAGCCTGAGACTTCCCGTGTATCCCACCATGAGGTGGCAGAGTCTGCAGCACAGAGAGACCCACCCTGCTGGGTGGCTCTGGGCCAGCCTGTCACTGATGCATGGCTCAGTCTCATGTATGTGAATAGGCAGTCGGCCTTCATCATCCCAAAGTTCTCCTCTAGCTCTGACAGCCTGGTTTTGCACGTGGTGTGCTCATCTTTAGTTCTTGGGGTTCCAAGGCCAGCCTTCAATGACAGTTTAAACTCCCCCACTCCCTGGGCAGGACTCCCAGCTTTGGGGTTATGTGACTGTAGCTGGCTTTTCTATGCCGGGCAATGGGTCTCAGCCTCCCAGGTGGCTGGGATTGCAGGTGTGTGCCGCCACACCTGGTGCTCAGCATAGGGCAGAATAAAACCCCATTTTCCAGATAAGGAAACTGTGGCTCAGAGTAACTTGCCCAAGCCCCACAGAACAGTGAGTGACAGAGCCAGGATTCACACCCCCTGCATTGCCTCAGCGGCACCTGAGTGTCCTTGGGACATGGTCCTATCAGCATTAGGCCAACTGGCAACAGCTTCCTGGGCTAGAAACCTGGAGAGCCAGGAAAAGGTTTCACCTGGCACTGCCAGTTAGCTCTTGAATGGCCAGCTAGGTCTGAGGGCCCCCCGTTTGCTAGACAAGCTGTGTTGGGGAAGTCGTGAGACTTGCCCAGGCTTGATATACTGTTCCATATTCATGCTTGAACTATGGGCACAGCGAGGCCAGTCTCTGACAGCCACCCAGGTTCCAGGTCCATGGGGAAGAGGGCTCTGCACGAGCCCACCTCTTCCTTCCTTCCTTCTACAGAAATTCACCTGGAGCTTGGCTCTGTCGTTCTGGTCTTTTCTACCCGGGGCATCAGTCGCAGTTGTGCGGTCATTGTGGCCTTCCTCATGCACTGGAGAGAGGAGACCTTGCAGGTATGTGTTCCTTGAGGCGGGCTTGGGCCACAACCACCCTAGGTGTGGAGTCAGGGCCAAACCTGGGAGAAATAGGGCCTGGCACTACTGTGGGGCCCCAATTGTGGGATGGGGAGGGGGAGAATTAGGAGGGGAACTCCAAATCAGGGTGTTTCCCAGCAGGTGGCACCCAAGGGTGGGTCCCCACGCTGCAGGCCAAAGCCTGTATACAGCACTAATAGGACACAGGCCAGGCTGAGAGGCAGCACCAGCTCTGTGGCTCCCCTGCTGCCCGTCTGTCCCCGAGGTTGGTTTGGGTTTGTTCAAAGAAAAATGAGTGGAGTCACAGAATTGCAGCACTGGCCAGGCCTCAGTGGGCACCCAAGTCAATCTTCCTCACCGGGGTGGGAAGGAAGGAGGGCACTGTTAAGGCAGACCCACGGAGATTTGGGCATTTGACTCCCAGGTAGGGCTCGCTTGGGGGCCTGCCCTGGGGAGGGGATCCTTGCCTGTCCATGGTCTCAGAGGGTTTGGGTGGGAGCTGAAAACTTCCCATGTGTGTTTGGGGGAAGGGCAGGGGTAAAGAATAACCATGGTTTTGAGTATTGACCCAACGTGCTCTTCAGGAAGTTGCAGCCTAGAATGCCTTGGCTGTCCGGTAAGTCTACTTCAAGGCATGTACGTCAGAGAGCAGAAGACAGGGACTCAGATATGTGCACACCCATGTTCACAGCAGGACTGTTCACAATAGCTGAAAGGTGGAAATGACACAAATGTCTGTGGACAAATAAAAGGAAACACAAAATGTGACATCTCCATATAGGAAAGAGTCAGCCTTGCAAAGGAAGAGAATTCTGCTGCGTGCCACAGTATGGGTGGGCCTGGAGGACACTGCTCCATAAGGCAGGCCAGTCATTAAAGGACTAGTACCTAGGATTCCCCCTGGTGTGCGGTACCTAGAGTATCAAAATCAGACAGGTGAATAGCAGTTGACACGGATGTACCCAGGGAACAAGTGGGATGGGGAGTCGATGTTTAATGGGGTCAGAGGATCAGTTTGGGAAAATGAAGATGTTCTAGAGATGGAGCAGGTGACAGTTACACAGTAATATGAACATACTCAGCGCCATGGAACTGTATAGCCCTAAAGGTGGTTAAAATGGTGAACTTTAAGTTCTGTATAATTTACCACAATTGAAAGGTGTCTTTTTAAAATAGTATTTTTAGTTGAAAAAAGACACAGTACCTTTATTTTATTCATTTTTATGTGGTACTGAGGATTGAACCCAGTGTTGAGCACTTGCCTAGCATGTATGGGACACTGGGTTCTTTGTACAAGTTTGTTTTTTTTTTAATTTGGGGAATTTTAAGATTTTTCTATTTCTACAAAATATGCCATTGGGATTTAATAAGGATTCTTATATCTGTGGGTTATTTAGGCAGTATGGACATCTGGACCATAGTAAGTTTTCTATAACATTGGATATGTTGCCATTTAATTGTATCATCTTCAATTTCCTTCTACAATGCTTTTTGTAGTTTTTGGTATGTCTCTCACCTCTTTGGTTAAATGTTTTAGTCTTTTTGATGCTATTGTAAATGGAATTGTTAATTTTTTTTTTTAAAGAGAGTGAGAGAGGAGAGAGAGAGAGAATTTTTAATATTTATTTTTTAGTTCTCGGCAGACACAACATCTTTGTTTGTATGTGGTGCTGAGGATTGAACCCGGGCCGCACGCATGCCAGGCGAGCGCTTGAGCCACATCCGCTTGAGCCACATCCCCAGCCCTGTTAATTTTTTTTTAATTGTTCATTGTTGGTTTGTAGAAATTTAACAAACTGATGTGCTAATTTTGTTATCCTGTAACTTTGCTGGATGCATTTGCTCTGGATGTGTAAGATTTTAGAAATTTCTACATGAGATTAATGTCATCTTCACAAGGAGTGCCGCAGTCTGGCTGGGCACAAATAACTGAGATGCCACGAAGCACTTGTAGGTTCAAAACAGCAATTCTTTATTGCCGAACTCTACCAGCACTCCACACACACTCCCCGGGAACACTCTCACCCTCCACCAGGGTCAGCGTGCACTCTCCCTCGGAACCCCAAGAGAACACCAAGGGAACTCCAAAGTGCAGCAAGAGCCTCCCTATTGCCCGGCCAGTAAAGGTCAAATATACAATTGAATACACAGCTTAACATAACCATCATTATCTCAATGGCTCCCTGGCGTTACCTCTCAACCACTCCCTTCTGGCAATATGCCATGCATCATCCTGACTCAGCTGTGGCGCTCAACAATGGAGATAATCTTTTTTCGTTCCAATTTGGGTGTCTTTTCTTGCCTAATTGCTCTGACAGCTCCTTGCAGTTCTAACAGAAGGGGTGAAAGTGGCCCCATGCCTTGTTCCTCTAAGTGCTCCTCTCGGGAAAACCTCTCCATCTTTCTCCATTGAGTGCGATGTTAGCAAGGGTGATTTTCATAAATGGTCTTTATTAGGTTTAAGCAGTCTTCTTAGTTTCACCATTTCCCCCTTTGCTTTTCCCCTGTCCTCAATCCGGATGGATACCAGCTCCGCCTTCTTTCTAACCCTGAAGGAAGGCAACTTTAATCTTCCTTCTTCAGAGAATTTGACCCCGTCCTCCTCCCCTTTCTAGGAACACATCCAGTGACAATGCAAACCTTTGTTGAGCCTCTCTGCACCAGGCTTGGGTGTGTTGTGTTCACCCCACTTGGTGGAAGGTTCCCATGTGTTGTCCCAGCATTCACAGCAGCTATCTGAAAAAGGAATGATTTGTCCCTCTATTCAGAAGTGCCAAGAGGCTTGCCCAAGGTGCGGCCAGCTCCCTCCACTGCTTGCCCTACGGAGCCATCACAGGCTGCTGCGGTATCTAGCTCTTAAACCATGTTGTGTGCCCCTGGGCAAGTGCTTCCTATCTCTCCCGAGTTGGATCTGATCCAGGGCCCATGACCAGTCCTGACGTCTCCTTTCTCTCTGTTCACAGAGGTCCTGGGCCTATGTCAAGAAGTGCAAAAATAACATGCGTCCAAATTGGGGATTGGTGACTCAGCTGTCGGAGTGGGAGAAGATTGTCCTTGGAGACACTGTCACAGACATCTTCAATCCACCATACTAATCTCTGAGGCCCAGAGATGGGCGCTGAAGAACCTTTCTTGGGACCTTTGTGGGCAGAGGGCAAGCATGTGTACCCAGGTTGGTGTGGAAAGAAAAGGCCTGTGCTGCCTGCAGCCTCACTCGGACTTGTGCACCGGTTCTTTCAGGCTCCTGTTCACTCACTGTGGAGGCGCATCTGCTAAGCTTAGCCCATATCCCTGGGTGCCTTGGAACACCCCGATGTCCTCCTAGAGTTTCCTCTGGCCACCTAAGGGGCTGCCATACACACCCTGTGACTTGGATCATTCAGAGCTTTCCTGGGAGATGCTCGGTGTTGGTCCACAGGGTGTCACAATAGCCAGCCACTGATGGGGATTTGGGCTGGGGTAGAGCTCAGCAGGTAGAGGGCTTGCCTCCCATGCACAAGGGCCTGGGTTTAACCCCCCAGCAACAACAATAACAAAAAAGAAAATAGGTGGGGATTCTCCCATCCCCAGAGATGCCAGGCCTAGCCTTGGCCCTTTGCCTCATGCCCAGGCCCAGTGCTATGACCCTCCCAACCCCTGTCTATCACTTGGCACTAATGGCCTTTCTCTGTACCCACCCCCACTCATTGCTGTTCACGGGAAAGACTTCTACCCCGAAGCCCCTGCACCTAAGTTCCTAGAAATTCCTCAGATCTTAAAGGGAGGTGTTTTCCCAGTGCACTTGCTGCAAGCAACCACAGAACGACCTGAGGATTACGAGAGGGCACGTACAGGGGACCAGGGGACGGGTGGGGCATTCAGGATGCCCATCAATGCAGGGGCTTCCCTAAGTTCATTCAGCAAACATGCCCAAGGCCTCCTAGGACTCTCCAGAGTGGGCTGGAGGTGCCCAGATGTGGGAAGTGCCTTCAAGGAGGAGTGGGCTTTGCCAGAGGGGGAAGAGCTTTTCAGGCAGCACCCTCTGTCAGTCTGGGGTGGACTAAGCCTGGGATGGCTGTAAAGCTTGCTGTCTGGCAAGGGACCTCCTGCGAGGCAGGGACAGGGTGGGGAATTAGGCTTGTGCTTTAGGAAGGGCAGCTAGTGGCTATGTGAAGGGCAGTGGAGGTGAGCCTGGAGGCAGAAAGGAGGTGACAAAAAATCCTAGCAAGAGAAGACTCTGGGAATCCCTTCCACCAAGAGGCGCCGTTTCCCAAAGACGAAAAGTGTTTAAGGTCGGTGTCACCTCTCTGGGTCTTGGTTTGCTCCCAGCACCGCGGGCTGGGGCACTGCAGGAAGCACCACGGCATGCAGTTGGCACGGAAGTGGAACCCCGGCCAGGGGCCGCAGYCACCTTAGCCACCAAGCTGGCCTAGAGTCCTCGGGCGAGACGCCCTTCCAGTGCGTGGCCCCGCCCCTTATCGTGATTGGCTGTTGTTGGGGGCGGGGCCAGCGCGGGGCCCGCGCCAGGTCTTTCTCCATTGGTGGCGGTGGCGGCGCGAGCCCGGAAGCGGACGGGGGCGGAGGTGGAGGCGCCTTGGGCCGGCCCGGGTTGCGGCGCAGTCCTCAACTCGCTGCTCCTGCGGCCCGYGGAGCGGCAGCCATGCAGCCCCAGCCCTCGGACCCGCTGGGCGACTGCCTGCGGGACTGGGAAGATCTGCAGCAGGACTTCCAGAGCATTCAGGTAGGCTCCACTCCCGCCACCCATTGATTCTGAGCCACCTCTCTCTGGCTGAGGTCAAGGGTCCGGCAGCACTGGGTCAGGCAGGCGGGAGATTGGGGTCGGGGGTCTGGAGCCTGGCTTTGCTCCCGAGGGTGGCGAGGCCTCGGGTCCCAGTCTCCCCAGATGGCCCCTCCCAAGTGTCCGGTTACAGTCCACTGTGCTTTGGCTGGGACCCCACTGTGCTGGGTGACTTCGACCTCCAGTGAGGGCATGGAAAGAGACGCGACCCCCGGATCCGTCCCCGCCCTTTGCATTTGGACCTGGATCCCATCCTCTCCCAGGAGAGCAGCTGCCCGAGTCCGAGCCAGCCGGCCCGTATTTTGGATCTGTCACTCCACAAACATCCCTTTCCCACCCTCGGCATCTCCTGTCAGAGTGCCATGGGGGAGTGGTGTTTAGATGAAGTCCGTGGCCAGGGTGGGGGGGCTGTCCCAGGTGGGCCAGCATCTAATAGGGGAAGGGAGAGCAGGGCTGACAAGCCCTGTGGGCCTGTGTGGCTGCTTGGGAAAGTGAGGGGAGCAGTGGGTGGGACCATACCCTGCAGGGACCTCCTGGCTCTGGTGGGGATTGGAGACTCTGAAGCCATTGGGAAGCTGCAGGAGCAGTTGTCTGGTTGGAGTTTGTATGTGGCCGGCTGTCCTGGGACCCAGGCAGCAGGAGGTTGCTGGCTTTGACCAGGAAGGAGAGGGTGACTGTGCCTGCACATATCTGGGTCTGAGGGGGGTGTGGTGGCCCACAGACCGAGTTGGTTAGACCTTTGCCTCTCCTGGCCTGATTTCTGCCTTTGCCCGTCTCTATGGCTGCCCCCAGAGCAGCCCTGCCAGCTGCCACCAGTGTTCTCCCTGGAGTCCTGAGCAGACGTCTCCCGGCCTGGCTGCCTCCGCTGGCCTCAGCCACTTGCTGTCCCCACACTGCCTCTTGCCCAATCTCTAGACTGCGCCTTCTTGAGATTCACCCACCAGGGCAAAGTGCTAAGAGAAGCCTCAGGCCAAAGGTGCTGGGGCAGGGGAGGGGACTGGCCTCAAGGCAGGAGGTGCAAGGCTGAAGCCTGATGACCTTTAACCTGGGAGAAAGCATCCAAAATGCCCTACCAGAAGGCACTGTGGATGCCTGACCACTGTCCCCCCCCACCCCTGCCCAACACACACACACTTCCCATCCTTGCAGGTTGGGTAGGCAGGAGGGACTGAGAGGGCCTGAAGCCACCCACTTGGTCCAGAAGGTGGACCTGTGTGACCTTAGAAACCAGACTCAGGACAGAGAGCCTGTGGAGAGGTGGGGACCACAGGAAGATGTCCTGCGACCAGGAAAACCTTGAGGGGCGAGTGCCTTGGGAGAGCGCWGGCGGGTCCCTGGTGGAGACAGTGAGCCCATGTGTCCCAGCCAGCCTGCACCTTGTCCCTTTGGCCCCAGGAGACTCACCGGCTGTACCGCCTGAAGCTGGAGGAGCTGACCAAGCTGCAGAACAACTGCACCAGCTCCATCGCCCGGCAGAAGAAGCGGCTACAGGAACTGGCCCTAGTCCTGAAGAGGTGGGCACCTGCCAGCGGGGCATGGGGGCTGGTGCTGCCCCCCAGGGGACAGCACAGTCTGTCCCCTCTCTGGGCCTCACTGCCCCTTCTGCCCCTCTGGGGTGGGCATGGCGCCTGCTTGCCCCTGCTGACTCTGGCTCCACCTGCAGATGCAAACCCACCCTTCCGTCAGAGGCCGTGGAGGCCGCACAGGAGCTGGAGAACCAGATGAAGGAGCGCCAGGGCCTCTTCTTTGACATGGAGGCCTATTTGCCCAAGAAGAACGGGTGAGCCCAGGCCAGCCCCAGCTGCTGCCACTCCTGGGAGGGAGGGGCTGAGGCCAGATGCCACCTCTTCTTGGTCATTCAGTCAGCCATAGCCAGCACAGTCCCCACACTGTGATGGGCCCTTTGTGGGGGAAGGACCTGGTGTAGGAGTATGGTAAGGGTCACCTAACCGGCCCAGGCAGTCAGAGAAAGCTTCCGTGTCTGGGGGATGCTGAGCTGTCTTCAAGGATGAGAGGTAACAGTGGATGACTGTAGAGGCCGGGAACAAAATGAAGTGGCCAGGGTTTGGGGTCTGGGTGAGAGGGTGGAGTCCAGGGGTGCCAGTGTAAGACTCTGAGCCAGATCTCCCCAGGAGACTGAAGGCTGAAGGCATGGGGGGAGGTTTCTGGAAGGCAGGGAAGCAGGTTAGTGGGCTGAGGAAGGGAGGGAGGGAAGTGCTTGGAATGGACCTTGGAGAGCCAGCTGGTGGCAGGGAGGGGTGGGAACTGATCTTGGAGCTGGTGGGAGAGCTGAAGAGGGAGCTGGCATGGCTGTGTGGAAGGAGAATAGTCACTCGAAAGTATCAACTAGAAGTCAGGAGGGTGTCTGGGAGGCTTTGCCTTGGGCACACCTGTTACTCTCTAGGTTGGAAAGAGCTGGGCACGTCCATGGGCAGGGGCAGGTAGTGACAGAGGAGGCGCCTGGAGAGAGAAGGGTGCGTGTGGGCCTTGCTGGTGCAGGATGCAGAGGCACAGAGTCGTGCAGGTGGCTGGCAGTGGCTGGCCGTTTGCAAGAGGCTGGGAGCTGGTTGAGGGAGCAGCCGGGGCTGGAGGCTTTTCTCTGGTGTGGTCAGAGYCCCCCCAGTAAGCTCTTTTGCAGCCTTAGGCAAGTCCCTTCATGGGGAGGTCCACAGGGTCTGAGCCGGAGCAGGAGCCCTGTTAGGGCAGCTGCTCTGCTGTCCCACCTGGGAGCTACTCAGCAGAGGACAGATGAACCTCATTGGGAGGTGATGGAAATACAGGGAGGCTGTGGTTCAGGGGGGTGGCTGGGAAGTGGCTGCACGGTGAAGGAGGGCATGTGGACTCCTGGCCTGGACAAGGACTCACTAGAATGCGGGGCCCTCAGGGAGGGAGGGGTCCTTGTGGTGTAAGGAAACCAATGGGAATCAGAGCTTTTGGGGGACAGTATAAACAGAGGCTGGAGTTTCTGAGGGAGGCTGTCGTGGGCTGGGAGGACAGGTATGGTCATGGTGAGGGCCTGAGTGGACTCAGAGCTGAGGTTCCTGGGGTCCAGATAGCAAGGAGCTTGTGGCAGTGACAAGAGTTGACTTCATACAGATAGCAGATCCACCACCCAGAACTGAGGAGTGATTGGGGATATGGGGTCTGGGTGGGAGAGCCAGGCTTCTTGAGGCCTCAAGGCTGGGAGGCCGTGGACAGGACGTRGCAGACTGGGGACATTGGTGTACTCCAGGTCAGGATTCCGGAGCAGGCTGGGCTCCAAGTGGAGGTGGCCTACAGCACCCCAAGGGTAGGACTCTTAATGCAGGGTTATGGAGAAGACAGCTGGGTGGAGGGGACCCAGGGCCAAGGCCTCTCAACCCCTCTCCTTCTCTCTAGGTTGTACCTGAGCCT